GGTAGGTGCCTCTCTACTGTATCTGAACGGCAGCTGCCACTAGAGCTGCCACTAGAGCTGCCACGTGACCTGCCACTAGACCTGCCACTACCGGCAGGCACTGTTCCCGAACTGCTCCTGTCACTGTTTAGCGCCACTAGCGACAGTACAATCATTGCTTTCTCAAATATTATCTTAAAGAGATGTACAGTCAGCAACAATAATATAATTCGTAGTCATGTAAAGATTAAACAAGTCCTCAATTTATTTCCGTATTCCAGTTTATCTTAGCCGTGCACAGCTTCTCGTTTTTACTTCCACGAACGTCGGTGGCTGTCTCTGTACCTCGGCAGGCACTGTATTCGAACGGGAGCTGCCACTGTTAAGCGCCACTAGCGACGGACAGAAGTGGCAGCTGCCACGCTCCTTAGTGGCAGCTGCCGCTAAGAAGTGGCAGCTGCCACTACCTGCCTTGGCGGGTGCCCGTGACGTCACTTCCTCCTGCCAGCTGCCTTTTCAAGACTAAACCCTTACTGGAGACGTGCTATCGAGCCTTTCTGCGCATGTGCAGTTCCACCGTCTTGGGATTAGGGTTAGGTTTTAGGGGTTAGGGTTAAGGTAAGAGTTTTAGGGGTTTTGGGGGGGTTAGGGTTAGGGTAAGAGTTACGGTTAGGGCTATCGATTAGCACTACGGTAGGATGTTTTGATAAAGTAGGACGTTTTGTCAGAACACCGGCATATTTTAAGCAGTTGAAGATGGCTTTTAAAACTCCTAGCGTAATGCATCAGGACATTCGCGAAAGCAAACCAGCTTAAGTTCTGTCTTGAAACAACCGTTCACGTCTTTCATAACGCTGTTCTGTACTTAGAACGTTTCCTTGAATGTCTTGCGCCGTATTACTTTCGAATTCGAATAGAAAACCGGTCATCCCGAAACCTGCTGGTCAACAAACGCCGATCGCGCGCGGTTACAGTCTGAGTAAGTCATAATTTCTAAAAAGAAGAGTGGAAATTATTTATTAAGTAAACTTCGGCGGCTGGAGTGACGTGTTTTTTTAGTGCCGAATTTAATTACTTAACTAACGTTAGCTGGTGCTGAATGCTGTTTAACTAGCTTCTTGGCATGTAGATTTGTTTGCAAAAAAGCACAGCAACAGGTGAATAAAACTGTATTGATCGTGTGTAGCCTGTACTTGATTACTGTATTTCAGTTTGTTTGCCAGTGGGCCATAATAAAATATACAAATGTACATGTAATGCCTTTTTATTTTATTTTTTCATTTTTGGAAATATTATACGTAACATTTTAATGTACATAAATTTATATTCCAAACTCTATTCAAAGCTAACCAACAAGGTCAATACATCTGAAGTTTTAAGGTATTAAGCAAGAGCGGTCAGCACAGCCTTTCCCGAGCTGAAGCCCAGGGGTGAGGGTAAAATGCGGATTCTGCCGGACGTAAACAAAACAGCCTTTGAGGAGCTCAGCAATGCGGTCCACGTCACGTCAGCTGCAGACACACCTCGAACGCACCCCGTGATTAGGTAACGTCGTATGGGTTTCTTTCTATGCCACGTGATCTGTCTACGCGGCGTGCGTCATTTGCGACACGTCTGTTTGTAAACATAAAATCCATTGTTAACAGTCCGCATTTTACCCTCACCCGAAGCCCAGGCGCCTCCGCTAAAATAGGGCCTCAACTGAAATTAATACAATTTGAACCACCCGCCACCAATGGCCAGTAACACAATAATCACACGGCACATCTAAATATTATAGAACATTATTATAGAATATTATAGTTTTTAAAAAATGCAAAACGCATGCTTAAAATCTTAGTAAGGAAATCAAACACCAGTGTTAGGCAAGACAGCATAATCCTTCGTCTTACTTTAGAATGGCGTTTTAAAGCAATTGGATATTTATCAAAACGTACCTGCGAATGTGGAGTCAATGCAAAAAAGTATTAGCGTGAAAAACACAACTTTCCGCATGATGGTGGGATCGGGGGGGTTCCTGAAGCAGGGAATCAAACCCTCCATCAGTTTCCGTACGTTGAACCGGGACACAACACAGACTTCACTGCGGGTTGTATTCTGGTTGCAGATCTTTCAGAGCAAAAAAATAAATAAAATATAGGCGGGGTGAGTCCTTTTCCACCAATAGCAACCAAGAGAGGACCTGACATCACAAATCTCTAGGACACCTAATACAGAGGTTTCTATTCGAAACCAAAAATAATCTGACTTAACGTGTTCTGAGAAATTGGGTTTAACATATCATTGAGTTTAGCATTGCAAAACATACATGTGGTTGTAGCACATATTACATATAGGCTACTTAAACACAATATTAAATATACTGGTTTGTTCTTTTTCTAACTTCGCTCGATGTTTCACTATGGGAATCGCTTTGGGCGTGACCAACTACGGAAGCTCCAATGACACCACGTCCGTCTGTGATGGACAGGTCGACTTGCGGTCAGGCTCCGCCCCTGCCTTATTATTGCTGTCGACCTCCCAGACGGCTCATTCGCGCTTTCTTTCCGTGAGGAACTAGAAGCTCCCTCAGCCAGGCTTGTCGCAGATGGCCCGTTGTTGGAGTCCGTCGACGAACGCGATTTTGGCTCTAGTGCTGTACTGGGCTGAGTTATTCCCACGTTGAGAAAGTTCTCGCTGTTCGGTCAGCATTGCCGGATCGGCTACCGCGTCAAAGCGAGCTATCCGTCGAGCCACTCGGTAAGCACAGGTTTTTCTCCATTCCAGTTTTACTACTGGTGCAGTTGTATTCACCTGTTGCGCGGCAAAGAGGGACCTGTACGAAGGGAAGAGGCTCCCACCTGTGCAGCCCTCAGCACGTCAACTCCTTCCTGCAGTTCCGGCTTGTATGAAGGAGATGAGTCGCTACTGGTCCAGCCCTTTTAAGAGCAAGCTTGCCACCAAGGGCTTCTCTAAGCTGGAAATCCAGGGGATGGAGGAACTGGGGCTGGCGAAACCACCAGTGGTGGAGCCTTCAGTGGCCTACCACCTCCACCCAAACTGCCACTCTATCTCTGCTTCATCACACATTTCTCTGCCCAGCAAGATGGACCACGTGACTGCATCCACCTTCCAGAGGATGTACACTTATGCTGCACAGTCAGTGTGTTCTCTGAATGCAGTTACATTGCTATCTGCATATCAGGCGGAGATCTTGGAGTAGATGGGCCAGCAACTGGACTCGGGGGTGCCAAACCCGGTCCTGTGGGATGAGATTTGTGTGGTGAATGACCTTCTGCTGCGCTCCTCACGTGGCGCAGTGCAAGGTTGTGGCCGGGTGATGGGCTTGGCTGTGTCAGGTGAGAGAGCCCTCTGGTTGAACCTGTCTGCCTTGGGGGATGCCCAGAAGGCGGAGGTCATGGATGCAGCCTATGACCCCCACCAAAGGTCTTTTTGGCCCAGCCCTGGACAGAATGAGGGAAACCAGCTCCCTCACGAAGCTGGAGGATGAGGCTTTTAACCTCTGTCTACCTCGCAAACAGCCACCTCGCCCCCCTTAGACAGCCAGATCCAGCTTTGCAGCAGCAGCAGCTAGGGCAAGAGGGAGGCAGGCTGGGTCCAGAGTCCAGCTCCAGGTGGACAGCAGGCAGCTCAGCAGCCAAGGGCAGCTAACCCAGGGCCGTGGGGGAAGCACTCCTTTGCGGCTGTTGCAGCAAGGAACTGTCCGCCCCACCCCGGCCAAGGGAAGAAGAAGCGGGCAGCCTGATGCCTGCTTGGCCCCACCCACCCCCTCCTTCAAAGAGGATGAGGTTGGGGGCAGACAACCCTTGTGTTCTGCTTTCAGTGGCCCCTCTTGTTCAGGGGGTCTCCACTGTCCGGTCTCCTCGAGTTCAGGAGAGCGAGATTTTGGTGGCAAACTGTCACCAAGCACTCTTTGTGTCACCAAGCACTTTTCAGTTCGGGGGAAACAAAAATAAAGTGTGCATTGTCGCAGCCAAGCCGAAGGCCGAGGGCGACTTGCTCTCCACTGTTCAGAAAAAAAGTTATAAAAAATCTTTCCCGAACTCCATCACCAGGGGGAGCTCTTGCTCTTCTATCTGGAGTTTGGTGACGTCATCAGCAGGCGCCGCAGATGCAGAACTTTTCAAGGGGCCGCTGTCTGCTCAGGTAATGAAGTGGCGCTCATGTGTGGTGCACCCATGGGTTTTGTCCACAATTTCTGGAGGTTACAGGCTACAGTTTGCTATGAGGCCACCCAGGTTCAACGGTGTGTTAGTTTCTGTAGTGGACGGCGATTCAGCTGAGGTTCTAGAGGACGAGATCGCGTCTTTGCTACGCAAGCGAGCGATCAGATTTGTCCCAGAAAGGGAAAGCCGACAGGGTTTTTATTCCCGTTACTTTGTCATTCCAAAAAAAGAGGGCTCTTCCCTTCGCCCTATCTTGGACCTCAGTGTGTTGAACAGTCACCTCCGAAAGTACATTTTCAGGATGTTGACACACAAAATCCTCTGTCAGTCGATTCGTCCAGGCGATTGGTTCGTGACGATCGATCTGTCAGATGCCTATTTTCCACATAGATATTTATCCCGCACACAGGAAGTTCCTCAGGTTCGCATACCAAGGCACAGCCTACGAGTATCAGTCGATCCCATTCGGAGTGTCGCTAGCTCCGAGGGTGTTCAGCAAGTGTGTGGAGGCGGCTCTGGCGCCACTGAGAAACAACGGCGTCAGGATATTGTCCTGCATAGACGACTATTTAATATGCTCCCGTTCAAAGGAGCAAGCGATCATAGATTCCGAAATAGTTGTCACTCATTTTAGGGATCTGGGTTTCAGGATCAATATGGAAAAGAGCCGTCTGACCCCCTCGCAGTTCACGGAATATTTGGGCCTCCGAATATACTCCTTCTCGTTACGTTAGCGGAGAGGAGGATAGTGTCTTTTATGCAATGTCTCGGCCGCTTTCAGTTAGGGAAAGTGGTTTCGTACAGACTCTGCCTGCGTCTGCTGGGGCTAATGGCGTCAGTGATATCTGTGGTGCATCTAGGTCTCCTCATGGTGAGGGACTTTCAGCGCTGGGTGGCGCAATTAGGTCTTTGCCCTCACCATCATCTCAGTCGGCCGGTGAAGGTGACTTCGGTGTGTGTGAAGGCGCTTCGCCAGTGGTGTACCAGGGGGGCTCTCGAGTCGGGCATCCCTTTAGGGGGGGTGTCCTCGAGAGTTATACTGACGGCAGATTCGTCCCAGTCAGGGTGGGGTGCAACCTTGATGGGCAGGGCTGTGAATGGCGTGTGGCCCCCCCAGATAGGCGCACAGCACATAAACTATTTGGAACTGCTTGCAGTGTTTCTAGCACTCAAACACTTCCTAGGTTTTCTCCAAGGTCAGCATGTTCTGGTGAAATCAGACAATTCAACAGTGGTGGCCTACATCATCGTCAGGGTGGCACTCGCTCTCTCCGGCTGCACCAATTAGCCAGGAAGCTGATCGAGTGGTGCAGCACCCGGATCTTGTCTCTCCGTGCGACACATGTGCCGGGTGTCCTGAACTGGGGGGCAGACCTGCTGTCCAGAGGAATCTCCCTCCATGGAGAGTGGCCCATGGCCAAACACCCTTCTCTATGCATTCCCAGGGCTAGACATAAGGATTTAGGAGGGCACAGCCACTTTGGCCTTGGCTATTCATATTTTTTCTAGGGCACAAGGCCATTAAGCCTGGGCACAAGGCCAAAATCTGGAGTAAAAATGTTTTTTTCATTTATTTAAATTTCATAGGACACCTCGGGCCTTGTGGAGAAATTTTATT